AAAAAAACACATCATTGTAAAATCAATACATTCATCACTTCGTTCAGAATCTAAAAGTGATGATCGAAAAGATCGAAACGAAATCCTAATGACTGCTGGGATAACTATAAACTATAATGCATATTTTATGACAGCTTTCGCAGTATGAAACACATCTTGAGTTCAAATGGCCACGGTGCAGACGTCAACAATGGCAACGATGTAGACGGCAACGATGGAGACGGCAACRTCGGAACACAGGGGTGGCGTTGTAGTAAGGGTGACAAAAAGCAGCTGCCGTACGACCCGTTTCAGATGCGTGACAACTCCAACTCGACCACGTGAGTATAAAACAGATTATTATTATTATTATTATTATTGTTTGTATTTCCCTGGCCTCGTCTTTAAAATACGAAATTATTTTCCAGTGCTACCGGTGCTTTGTTACATCTGATAAAGAGTAGTCTCGGTTCCGGCGTCCTTGCCATGCCGAATGCATTCAAAAACGGCGGGCTCATTTTTGGCTTGTTTGGGACGGCTGCCATCGGGGCTCTGTGTGCGCACTGCATCTACCTTCTAGTGAGTATAATAATACAGTTGCCCACACTGTGTGTATTCTTATAAGATCTTTTTCACCGATGCCATCTTAAGCGTAGGTACYCGTTCGTTCGTACTCACAAGTCCGTACAGATATAATATGTTATTATGAAAGCGAATTGTTCATCAATGAAAAGCCCCGTATTCTATTTGAATTTTTACGAGAAAAAAATTAGTTTTACTCATAATATTGTGTTTGAAAATTATAACATTTTAGAAAAATATTCTGCTTTAGAATGAAAAATATATTTAAATAAATATAAAACCATTCGATCGATACGAAAATTTAAAGTAAAGATCCATTCGAGGATGTATATAGTTATGTTTGATAGATAGGTAATTAAAAAAGGATTTTTWWWWAAAAAACCCTTATGTTACTATACCTAATAAATTCTTAAACTTATGAGTTATAATATTCGTACTTCAATGAGATATAAAAATTTAAAAATTAAATCAAATTTTCCAGAAAACTATCGCAATGTGTACTTTGTATTGACAATCTATAYACTCGTGTTATATAAATATGTCATCTGCATATTATCGGTTCSCAAACAAACATATTATTATTTAATAGTATGTATTGTTAATCAGTTAGAACAAAACAAACTTCAGCATAGCTATTTACCTTGCTGTTAAACTCTTTGTTTATTTTAGACTACGAAGTATGATAATCAATAAAATTTTAAAATTTCTAGCAGACCAACGAATCACGAATGTATTAGTTTTACAACGAATTCAACGATGTGCATTATTTTTTTGTGCCTATCATAACCTTTTGAATCACCTTCACGATCTTAAACTTTAAAGGTTTTGGTAACAAATTGRACTTAATTTAAATACTACTTATGGGTAATTAAAAATATTAATCATAAAAACTTCACACGTTCCACTGTCATTATTAAAATTATCATCTTCTATTCAAAATTAAATTTTAAAATTATTTAACCTATTGGCTATTAAATTATTTACCTATAGTTACTAAAAATGTATTTTTATTTATATAAATGGTTAAAAAACTTTAAAATGTAAAACAAAATTTCTCATACGTTTTATTAATAATAATTTAAAAATATTGAAAATCCATGGTCAACATTTTTTTGTTTATATTTCATTTAAACTTTTTCTCAGCACTACGTATAATCGTATTATTCACTATACACAATGATTTTTTAGAAATATTTATATTCAAACGCTATTTAGTATTTATGCTATTGGTCTATTCAGACYTTTCTACGCTTGATACGTCATTATACAAGTTAATTATTAGATARTAAATGTCATTTGGTTTTATTAAAATCACGAACGTTTTGATTTAGTATAGTTGTTTTTTTTTWAAAAAGAATTCAATGTAGGCAATCTGAATGACATTAAAAAAAAGCGAGTAAGTCGTGGATGTCGCTCTGCTGTACAGTAGGTTACAAGTGGGTTACTGTAATGGATGGAATTAAATTTGAATTCAATGATTTTATAT